TTTAGGGGGTTATTAGGGGGGGTTGTAAGCATTCTGATAGTGCGTGTTAGTGCGGGAAATTGCCATTGGGATATAAGGGGAGTTTTAGAAATTGCTACTGGGTGATGGACCATTTTTCCAGACAGATTCGGAATCGGCGCAACAAAATACTTTGGAAAAACGTTGTCCCAGTTCTGGGTCTTGTTAGGTGATATAATCTTGAATTGGTACATATTTTTCGTATTCTATCCACGATAATAATTTTTCCAATTTTTTAAGCTCATTATGAACTTTTTTTCAAAAATAGGAATGGAGAAGGTAAAAATTTCGATGACATAAATTAGGGGTTGCAACCCTCGTGGTCGAAACTGCACGAGATAAATGTGTTTGTACATTATAAGTGATGAGCAACGTATTTTACAGTAAATTATCAACACTACCTGTAATGTATTGGAAACAATTTTTTGGGGGTGGTTTTTCAACATAAGGGGTGGTTTTAAAAATAAAAGGTAAATTTTTTTTCTTATTCTATCCACGGTAATATTTTTACTAATTTTTTCAAGCTCATTATGAACTTTTTTTCAAAAATAGGTACAAAGAAGGTAAAAATTTCGATGACAGAAATTAGGGGTTGCAACCCTTTTGGTCGAAACTGCACGAGATAGTTGTTTTTGTACAGTATAAATGATACTTAACAAATTTTACACTAAATTATCAACACCACCTGTAATGAAAATCTACTATGCAAGTGACAGAAAAGCAACTTACACCAATAGAACTACAGCCACAACAATGCTCATTCAATTTCGATAAGTGTATAATATTGTAAAGTACATCAACTGAATTATAATTGTTTGCTTGACTTGATAGTTTTTGATTATCAAATTTCAAACCGACTATACAAATATTTTCTTTTTTGTTTCATTATTTTTATTTTATTAGCTTTAAGTTTAAATATGTCCAGACTGGCAAACAGAAATGCTATTTCCTCTGCTGGATTACACAATTTATTAATTGTGTAATGTATGTATGTTTATTGCGACTATGTAATTAATGTATATACGAGGGGGGGTCAACAAGTCTTTACAAAATCCAAGAGATGGCGCTCGTCACGCTTAAATTATAATGTTTTTGGCAAGCAATCTAACTAGATATCGTACAAAGTTTCAGCTCGATTCATTAAGTCGTTTTTTTGTGAGTGTTGGTTGAACAAAAAGTTATTGGTTTATTTGAAAAATGGAAAAAACAGAGTTTCGAGCGGTGATAAAACATTTTCATTTGAAAGGCCTTACACTAAAAAAAAATCACAGTTGAGTTGAACGCCGTTCATGGCAAGTCTGCCCCTGTGTTTAAGACTGTTTATAACTGGGTAAATGAATTTAAACGCGGCCGTACAACAACAAAAGATAAACCTCGTTCAGAACGCCCCGTAGAAGTGAGTACGCCCGAAATGGTCAACAAAATCCACAATATGGTGTTGAGTGATAGAAGATTAAAATTGCGAGAATTAGTTGAGGCCACAGGGGTATCAAGGGTACAATCATTTCAATTTTGCCTAAAAAATTGGAGATGAAAAAAATATTAGCAAGATGGGTGCCGCGTTTGCTTACTGTTGAAAACAATCGAACCCGCGTCGTCACCTCTGAGTCTCTTTTTGTACGCATACGTCATAATCCGGAAGACTTTTGGCGTGGACTCGTCACTGTAGACGAAACATGGGTACACTACTACACTTCTGAAACCGAAGAACAGTCCATACAAAGGATTACCGCAGGAGTAGCAGCCCCAAAGAAGGCAAAGATAGTAAAGTCAGCTGGCAAGATTATGGCCACGGTTTTCTGGGATGCGTATAGAATCATCTACATCGACTACTTGGAAAAAGGCCAGACGATCACTGGACAATATTATGTGTCATTATTAGGTTAGCTGAAAGAAAAAAATCAGAGAAAAACGTCCTCACTTGAACAAAAAAAATGCCTCTTTCTTCAAAACAATGCTCGAGTTCACACGTGTGCGGTTTCATGGCAAAAATTAACGATTTAAAGTTCAAATTAATTGACCATCCACCATATTCGTCTGATTTGACTTCCAGTGACTTTTTCTTATTTCCTAACCTTAAAAAATGCGATCTCTCTTATTGCAGGAAGAATTTGATTTCGAAACATTTCTTCATAAATTGCCGCTGTCAGATTACCCTGAATGAAGAATGGGTCTATTAATCTATTATTCAAAATTCCAGCCCATACATTTATTTTTTGAGGGTATTACGTAGTATGTTCCTGCACAATGGATGCAGGAACATACTACGCAATACCCTCAAAAAATAAATATATGGGCTGGAATTTTGAATAATTTTTAAATGTATGGTTCCAGCAAGATGGTGCTGCCCCACATTTTGGAAGTCAGGTGCACAATTATTTGGATGCTGTATTCTCTCATTGGTGAATAGGTCGAAGGAGTGCAATTGAGTGGCCAGTGAAATCACCAGATTTAACTTCGCTAGACTATTTTCACTGGGGTCATCTGAAACATCGAATGTACAAGATGAAGCCACTCAATTTAGATGAATTACGTCAACGTATTATCGATGAACTTTTACCAGCAGATTCGTTTGCAAATGCTACGACATCTTTTAACCATCGATTAGCTTACTGTCAAGAAGTCGGTAGTCATCTATTTGAACATTTAATTCATTAATATGTGATTATTCTTATTAGTTTGTTATTATTACTAAAGTACTTATTATTATGTAAAATACTTGTATTATGGCTTTACATAAAATTATTATTATTAAAATACTTTTGAATAAATCTCTTTCGTATAAGTTGTACTAATTGACTTTGGATTCTTTTAAATAACTTAATGACCGAAAAATCAAGATCAGATTTGATATTTGATTGTTGAATAATTACGTTAATCGATTTTGAAACGAGAAAGGAGATTTCTATTCGAAAAAAATACAATATTATTGTACAAATGACCTTTGAAGTTCTTCTGGCCCTCGGTTGTGAGTACGAGTACATATCTGGATGTAAAATTTTACGCTTTTTGAGAATCCGAGGTCAAAACTGAGATTTTTTTAAAGAAAAATAAGAATGACCATGAAGTGACCTAGAAAATAAACGTCAAGATCAAAGTCGCGTTCAACAGAAAGTGTTCCCTTCAAAGTCCAGTAACTTTCATCTGAAACATTTTCCGACAAACCGTATTATTGTAGGATCATTAGATTAAACAGAAAAAAAATTGGAATTCGCATAACCTTGGCAATCATCTTAACGGATCTCCCGGACCCCAAATATATTATTTCATCTGAATATAAAATTTTCCGCTAATTCTGAATGTCGGGTAAAAATGGGTGTTTCTGTTTAAAAAACGAAAGCTGACCTTGAAATAACCTTGCAGGGTCTTTCAGATCCCACGTATAATATGTCAGTTGAACGTAGAATTTCTCGCTCTATCCGGATCAAAGGTAAAAAATAGAGGTTCTTATTTGAAAAATCAAAGTTGACCTTGAAATGATCTTGAAAAATAACTTTGACGTTAAAAGCAAGGTCATCACTGAGTGCATCAATAACGAACATATCAACTTTATTTGTAACATTTTTCCCGATAACGCGATCTTTTCGAGTTTTGGTCAGTCCCGGGGCTTTTGAGACACTCTGTATAATAACAATATTTCAAAGTATAAGAAAAATCAAAATTTTGAGCTTTTTCTTAGCATCAACCAATTACAACGTTAGATCTTGGCGACTTATCCTTATTTCAAGATATCATTACCATTATACTAAAAAAATTGAAGAATTATTGGTTTGACATCATAATTAATTTGATTACTCTGCCAGTAGAGACTGTTTCAAAATCAATTTGTAGTCACAAGCAAGTAAAAATTGTAATTTAATAATTTTTATTATAATTACGAAGCAAAAACATTGAACTTGATTGAACAACATGACGAATTTGCGAGTTTGTAATTAAATAAAAATTGTTAAATTATAAATTTCTCATATTTACCATTTTAAAATTGATTTTAAAATGGTTTCTAGGCTCCAGGTAATTGCGGCAGCTTACTTGCTCATAAATTTTGTTTTTTGCAAAAAGTATAATGGGAAAGGGGGAAGGGGGAGATTCATTAACTGTAACAGAACCATATAAAATGAAATCAATAGACACAAGTGCTTAGAATTAAGCATATGATAAATCCTCAACAGTAGTCTAGATAAATTAAAAAATTTATGAGTAATTATAAATTGATAGATCTTTGATAAGAACAAGTGATCGAGTCCGTGTCTCAAGACGCGTATTTGAAAGTTGAATATATACGTACATTACCGGGATCAAAATATAACTGATATTTTATAATATTTACAAATATTTTTAATATACTGACAATTTTTAATAATTCAGACCATTTTTACAAACCAAACAAAGTATGTGATTATATGTAAGCTTGTATGTAATTATTATGTACACTGAATACCCTTATAAGTCACTAAGCTTTGATTGTATAAGTTATACATATTATTGATTCATTATTATTATATTATTCATATTATTATTGTCATAAATACAATGGGGATACAACTGTGCTATATTATCTTAGATCGAACTTTGCTGGCTACAAGAAACTAAAATAAATTTGAAAATGATGCAAGATTCATAGAGATTCGGAAACAATTCAAGCAAGTAGAAAAAACAAATTGGGTGCTTTTTCCCAAAGTACGCGAGTGGACCTTAATTCGATTTAATCACTTAGCGTTTTGAATGGTTGAATACTTATTTTAGTTAGATTCTGTGGTGGACTGATATTGACAAAAATAACCAAAATTGAAAAATAAAAATATTTCAATCTTTCCGGGTTACGAGGATTTGAGCATATTGTAGGAAGATTCAGCTAGTAACAAAATACACAAATGCATTTTAGAACTCTGTAAGAGAATTTGTTTGACTACCTTAGTCTATATATGATTTATCTCTATCACGATTCATTTTATGGAAAAAGATTGAATATATGTTTTACCAACCTTATTATTGATTTTATACTTTCGTACGATATATCAGGTGGCATAGTTATTGATCGATTTTCAATATAGTTATTTTCATTTTGCTGTCGTTCTAATTCAAGAAAATAATCAGTGCATGTTGTCACCACTAATCGATGAACCTGAAAAATAAAATAAGTTAGATATTTGATGTTTTTATATAAGAAATTAATAGTAATATTAATTAATCCTTTCCCTTTTCCACACACATATTAAGAAAAGTGAAATTAGACAGGTCAATAAGTATCACAATATCACAAGTCATGGTTGCAAGTCGCATGTCAGTAGGCCAGAAGTGGTGGTTTTTATAAACATTAAGATAGCTATTGCGAGCTTCTAAACGTAACATACTGTCTAGATTCCCTTATGATTTTTTAAGTGATAAATTTTGTAATGATTGAAAGAAGGGAAATAGTGATAAATGGAAAATCACTTAATTTTAATTATATTCAGCAACGTTTCGTCGGCACATTTGCTGACCTCTTCAGGCTTTATTAATAGAAAAACAACAAATTATTAAGAATAGAGTTTGCAAAAGTAATTTTAATAGTATGTAATTATATGTACGAGGTCTGTCCGAAAAGTATCGGGCCTACGTTTATATCTTCGCGCCATAGTGTTCGAGCAACCTCTACCAGACAGAAACGTCAACAGTAAAGCCTCACGAATCTATTAGTTACTTACTGACACCTGCCGGACGTATAGTTCATGCGCAGCATGTCTTTGTTTACAGTGCCTTTTTCGCGTTCGTCGGATTTTGATATTGTCAAAAATGACTGAAAAACAAGATCAACGAATTTGCATCAAATTTTGCTTTCAACTCGGAAAAACGAGTTCGGAAACTATTGAAATGATGCAAAAGGCCTTCGGAAGCGAGTGTATGAGTAAAACACGGATAAAAGAGTGGTATAAACGGTTCAAGGATGGTCGCACTTCTGTCTATAGTGATTCTCGTTCCGGCCGACTTTCAACGACAAAAACCGCAGATAATATTGAGCGGGAGCGACTTGCAATTGAACAAGATCGTCGTATGACTGTGCGAGAACTAGAAGAAGACCTTGGGATACCAAAAACTCTCATTTCAGAAATTTTAACCGAAAATTTAGGAATGAAACGCGTGTGTGCGAAATTCATCCCAAAATTGCTCACAGCAGAGCAGAAGAGCATTCGCTTAGAAATCGTTCTAGACAATCTGGAAATGGTCAATAATGATGATAATGTGCTTAGAAAAGTTATTACAGGTGATGAATCATGGGTTTATGGTTATGATCCTGAAACAAAACAACAATCTTCACAGTGGAAGCATTCTGAATCGCCAAGACCAAAAAAAGCATGTCAAAGTCGGAGCAATGTTAAGTCAATGTTGATTGTTTTTTTCGATTGTGAAGGTGTTGTACATCACGAATATGCACCAACAGGTCAGACATTCAATAAAGAATACTACGTTCCAATTTTGAAACGTTTGCGTGATGCAGTAAGAAGAAAACGGCCGCATTTTTGGGAAAGTGGTGACTGGCTTCTCCATCACGATAATGCGCCAGCGCATTCATGCAATCTTGTGCAGTAGTTTTTGAGCAAACACAATATCGCATTGTTTCGACAACCTCCATACAGTCCCGACATAGCCTCTTGTAACTTTTGGCTGTTTCCAAAACTAAAAAAACCACTCAAAGGACACCGATTCGATGACAAAACAGCGGTTGAAAACAATGCAACGAGTGTACTTAAGGCTATCCCTAAACGTGAGTTCCAGGACTGTTTTGAAAAGTGGAAACATCGATGGAACCGTGTTATTCAATCAAGTGGGGATTACTTTGAAGGATGCCACCCACCAGATGATAAAGAATAACAATAGCACGAAAATATAAAGGAAGGCCCGATACTTTCCGGACAGGCCTCGTATATATGTATACCTGATTGCTCTCGTAGTCAAATTATTATAGGCTAAAACTAATAGATCGTAGCACAGTTAAGTTACAATAAAGTGAGAAATCAAGTATTTCAACCCATATATATACTCTTCATCTATTATCCCTTCCTCATCGATCTTAATAAAGGCTTATAGATATGACTATTGCGAGCTTCTTCAACATTCACTCATTTTGTTTATCCTTTCCACACATTAGTTTAAAATCTTCGTAATAACAGAATGAAATGTTGATGTTGCTATCTACAACTCGAAAAATATCAGCTTGTTCGATACTTTAATACACTTTTGAGAAAGTTCATCAAGTTATAAGATTTTAAATATTGTTTAATTATATTTTTTCTCTGAACAGTTCGTAGCATTCACCAAGTACTAAACTTATTTTTATTACAATATATCAGTCGCTGACAGTAGATAAACTTAGCTCGGAGAGGTATCAGCTCACTAAAAGAAAAGAACTAAATTACAGGTTTCGCAATGACCGATATATGAACGGCAAAAATTACAGCATACTTGAGTTTGAAACAGCAGAGCCCTACCATCGTGGCTTTGATGTTATTGCTTTTTGGAGTTACAACTTATTTCGGCTTACAATAGCAGAGCCTTACTTGTCATGGGCTTGATGTTATTGTGTTTGAGGTTACGGGATTATAGCTTATTAAGGTTTTATAAACTGAGAGCTACCAGCTATTTAAGATTTTTCGTTAATATATTGCCTCGTTGAACAAAGATTCATCAAAGGAATTTACATGTCTTTGTTTCCGTTCATATATCGGACATTGCGAAACCTGTAATTTATTTCTTTTCAATCGACGATATCTTCCATTTAAAAAATGATAATCATACATATAAATAGTGACGTGAAAAGCTGGAGAGTAGCCCTTTGCAATAGTTATTTCAGATTTGAAAAATAATAAAAAAAGCGGTATTATGGATGCTCAAATATGGCGAATAACCGTGTTTTTCGCCCTTTTGGGTTAGGATTACTTAAAAATCTGACATGATGGAGTAATTCTGAGTCCGGATTTGAGTTCTACGCCGAAAACTACTTTGGAAATGACTATCATATACTCCATAACAATCACAACCTCATATTTTGCAGACCTGTGTTATTTATATTATTAACCCATTAAGGACGGGACGGACACTTTTTCGTGTCCAACTTTTTATGGAAAATGGCCATTTTTGAAAAAACCAAAAATGGTCCCCATAAATCTGAAAAAATTCAGACGTGTTCCTTGACTGATTCTCAGCATTTTTTGTTCTTATAAACTTTTCATGAAAGTCGATAGTTTTCGAGATAAAAATCGGTGAAGTTAGCGAATGAAATTTTTGTTTATTTACGCAAATTTATTAAAAAATATATATATTTGGGTTTTCGTAGGGCCGATATTTTTTAGTTAAGGTATCATGGACACCTTTTTTATGAATTTTAAGCCTATAAAAAAATCAAAAGGCAAACAAATTTCGATCACAAAAATTTTTTTTTCCAAATAATCAGTGCTTTTTTTTTTAATCTTCAAATTTTACATGAAAAAACTCATTTTAGAAAAAATTAAGTGTCATAATCGGGAAGAGCATACTTAAAAACATAGAAAATGGTGGTTCGCGAATTTTTTTGCAATTAAATTATTGGCTTGGTGGTAGCTTGAAGTTGGACACGAAAAAGTGTCCGTCCCGTCCTTAATGGGTTAAATGACGTATTGATTTATATTATTAAATTACGTATCGACAGAAGGCTTTGTTATAATTAAAAATAACGAATGGGTAGGCTCGTCTTCCATAAGAAGACCCAGACGAAAAGAATAAACAATTATTGACATGGAAACAAACTATTTCAAAATTTTCGAGTAATACTAATAATTTTCCTGGACAAAAAGGCTATCAGCAGTTCAATAACGAAAAGAAGAAAAGAAAATCATTTCCTCAAAGTCACATCTGAAACACAACTACCTCGCTAGGCACACCAAATTAATCAAGATGGTACGTATCGAGAGTAAATTGCAAGAATTTGTGAATATACTTTAGAAAATTTTAACGTGGCTCTTGAATCTGGTTTTATAATTCATGACAATGATTTGTGAAGATGGGCTTTACAAGCTCAAAAATTAATTGAAAATGAAGACAAAATGACTGTAAAGTATAAAAGAAAAAATAGATAATTTGAAAAAAAAACAGGAAAATAATCAATATCAGATAGAGGGAAAATCGCAGAAAACAAAAGACAGGAAAGGAATACAAAATAATAAAAATAATCAAAAAATAGAAAAAAGGAAATTATAGTCTGGAATGAAGAATTGAATAATTTAAAAAAAAATAAAAGAATTATGTAAGGAAATAAAAAAAACTCAGGTGGATAAAGTAGAACACTGATGGAGGGACTGAAAAGAAATAAAAAATTTGTAGGTAAAGAAAAACATTAGAATAAAACGAAAGAACTAGGACATAAGATATCGTAGAATAGAAATAACACAAGACTCAAAAGATTAACCAAAGAAATAATTACAAAAATGAAAAATAGAAGTGGTGATCAAACAAAAATATTTAGATGCAGGGAAAAATAAAAAAGACTTCAGAGAAAGAAAAAAAAATGGAAAGAGAAAGCATAGAGAGAGAGAAAGAGAAAGAGAGATCGTGACACAGACATACTGATAATAAGCCAGCAATTATAAAACTTAGGTGCACAAGAGGGCTGGTTTTCAAATGCCTTCGGTATGTTAGCCATTTGGGTAAAGGGAAAATCGGCAAGAAGAATACAGATGTATGGAAGGGGGGAAGACTACGCGTGGGTGAGACCCTCAAATGCACGATGGCAGTTTTCGAGGATAAAATTGGTCAGCTAGAGGACGCTCTCAGAGATCTGCCGAGGGACCTCATCGTTGCGGGCGATTTGAACTGTTCGGCGATCGAATGGGGCATGACAAGAACGAACAAACGATAGAGGTTGCTTTTGAAGATAGCCGCAAGATTGGATCTGGAAATGGCCAACTAAGAAACGACGTCGACGTACAGACGACCGGGCTTCGGGTACTTAATACCTGATGTAACAATGACTTCAGGCACGATCTCGTCACGGATAAGAGGATGGCAGGTGATCAAAGACTGCACAGCCAGCGATCACCAACACATTGTCTTTGAGGTGGCGGATCATACAATGACTCAACGAAACAGACAGATCACAGACAGGACTACATA